TTTTCTATATGGTAGCTGCAATCCTTTCTCCCTTGTCCTTAGCTTTTTTTTTCAGTCACATGTCTCTAGTTATTTTAAAGGAACTACCCAAATGTCTTTTTTTTTGGTCAGAAACTTCAACTCCTTCTTTGGAAATTGGTGAAGTTTAAAAGAATTAATATGATCATTCTATATTTTAGGGAAAAAAATATGTTTTTTAGTTTCTTGATAGCAAATAGGAGTATGGGCAGAATACTTTCCCACAAATCTTAAAGAAATAAGGGGCAGAACACCACAAGCAATCCACTAGGGCATATGGTTTAGGTGGTTCATATGGCCATCCTCTTGGGCAAAAAATCCCTGGGGAAATTCATGTCCCCCTCAGTAATCACTGGCAAGTCTCTGCTCCCCACCATATATGTGGTGTAAGGCGTTTTGAAAATGCAATGGCTAAACAAATCTAGTAGTATCTTTAAACTGTTGGAACTGGTAAGTATCAATGAGTCTGCAAGCATTCTTTCTTGTAAACTTATATGAGGTGTGACATCCAAGGCCCTAATTCATGTTCAACTCCATCTCTCGTACAGGTTATTTCTCAGTTCTCATCTTTGCTACTTTATAAGGATTTAATGCCCATGTGATTCTTATGCTAACATTTTTGGCAGTTTAAAAAGTTTTCAGTCCAGGCTTGTTCACTACGTTTAGATTGCTTACATCTTAGAAAGTTCTTTTAAAAACAATGTTGTTTATTCTGAGCTCAACACTTCAAATCAACAAACATGTATTTAGCTACTAGTAAATATGTCTTTAGTGCCTGCGGGTGGGAATGAGGGTGGGGTGGAGGGCCAAAGATGAAAAGACCAGGTATCCCTCTATGACAAAAGAAAGGCCGAGGGCCTCTGACAAGGCAGCAGACAACAGGTGCTTATGAGAAATGGAACACGCCATGTTTGAGAAGCACAGAGAAGATGCATTGGGAGGGGGTGGGGGGGATGCCAGTGGCAGGGAGCTGTGGGAAGGAGGGATGAAGCAGGTGGCTTTGGAGTGGGGCCTTGAAAGAGAGATAAGTATCAAGAATGGGAATAGGAGAGCAGAGAGGAAGGAGGTAGGTTGAAAGGGTAGAGGGGAGGCAAGACCGAAACAGGATGTCACAATGCAGTTTCAGGCATGATTAATCGATAACAGGAGAATGCAGTAAATAGGTGATCATTTATTGAGACTAAGGCTGGGAGGTTAAAGAGGACTTGTGGCAGTTCACGAGGAGCCTGGCATTCCATGCCTACGTGATCGTGCTTTCTGGTCATACAGCCAATGAGGAGGTTATCGTCTCTGACACACTCTGAGCAGAGGCTGAGGGGAGAGGACTTAAGTGCCACAAATGAGACAGTTTGGAGATGGGAGGGCCTGGAGGAAGGGGAAATGGACAGCAAAGTCCAGTTCTCTTCTTGCATGTTTTAAATTAAACCGAATCGAATTGAACACATTAATGAGAAGATACTAGAAGTGACTTATCCAGAGAATTCATTCTAACTAGTGCAGTCAAACAGGAGATAACTTAGATTAGGGCCTTCTCAGGTAGTTCTGAATTTTAAAGGAAACCTTAATTATGTAGTGTAGACCTAATGCATGCTTTTCTCTGAGAATCACACTTCTCCTAAAATTCCTTTTAATTAGCTCTTTTTTTTTCTCTCTCTTTTTTGTTCAAGGCCATTAAAAAAAAAAAAAAAAAGACCATACGGATGCCACCCTCAATCCTGGGTGAAATGAGCAAAGAGGGCCAATCAGTGGTCTGTGTCATTTTAGAACAAATGTTCCTATGTACAGGGATGCCAAAATCATGTTCTGGGGCTTTCGACAAAGAGAAACCATCACGGGTAGTCCATCTCTAGCTCTCATTATCTAGCTATTAAGGCCTTCTGCCCACACACATAAACAAACAAATCCTTAAGAGGAAACGTAAAAGAAATCTCATATGTAGCTATAAATAGCTAGATTTGGGAATAGATCCACATTTGGGAATGTACACACAAATATAAATCCAAGATGGCAACTATTAGATAATAGAAAGGTTCAGGTAACTTTCTAACTTAGCCAATCATTTTAAATTTTCTTTCATGAAAACTTACCAAATATTCATGAGAGCAGCCACTGGTAATAAAATGAACAATTTGGCTTTTTATTCCTGCGCCTGTGAAGTTGCTGGCTTGCTGGAATGGTCCAAACAAGACAGCAGCAGGCAATAACAGGCTAAAACACCCAGAATGATTAGCGTATGTGGAGCGGGTCACACTCAGAATCTTCCTGTCTGCTGGCGAGCGTTAGAAGCACCTAAGCGAAGCCATAGAACCTTGGTGGATAGTGACAAGTGGAAGGGTGACCACTTATATCTTGGGCTATATTGGAAAAATAAAACCACCAAACCCTGATCTAAGTGGGACCAACTTTACTGACTTTTTCCACTTCCCAAGGCCAAAGACAATTAAATTGTGAATTGTTACAGTTATTTTCAATGAGAAACACTGAAGTAAGTGTACAATTACTTATATTAAACACACATCTACCTACAGCTGGTCACCTTATTACCAGTCTTAACTACCTCCACAACTTATTTTTAGGATTATGGTTTCAAATTATATCTAATTGTACATAGTTTAAGACTATTCCTAAGAGATCGCCTACATTAGGGAAAAGCCATGTGTCTGTTCACCTACAAAATCCTAAGGGAAACAAGATTTATTCACAGGGCACATTGCTCATATTTGAAGATGAGTTTCTGGGAATTCCACCCCCGGAGGAGTGGAGCCGCGAGCACCTTCACTTGGTGTTCAGGCCTCCTCCAGCCTAGTTGCTCTTAGAGCCAGGTTCTAGAATTTTAACTGGCACAGTCTGGCTTTCTGTAACATCTCTTCTCAGAATGCACGATGCTTCAGCTTTTTAAGACAAACCATCAGACAAAACAATAAGACCACCACAATTCTTACTAATCCCTTCCCAGGCCCTCCATCTGTACAGCTTCTCAGCTGAGTCCCCATGATATATCTTTTGCTTGAAAGTTCCCTTTAATATAATGGCAACTGTTTTTATTTTCTTGGATTCACTCATCTACTTCATTTGTCTCAGTCATCATGAGCATACGGTAGTCCTCCACCACCCCCGTTATCCGCAGGGGGGTGTGTGCCGAGACCCCCAGTGTATGCCCGAAACCGTGGATAGTACCGAACCCTCTATGTCCTATGTTTTTTCTTATACGCACATGCCTATGATAAAATTTAATTTATAAGTTCGGCACAGCGAGAGATTAGCAACAATAAATAAAATAGAACTTACAACAAAACACTGCACTAAAAGTTCTGTGAACGTGGTCCCTCTCTCACATAGCTCATCATCCTGCACTCACCGTTCTCGCGGTGACGTGCGATGACACACTACTCACGTGATGAGATGGCATGAGGGCAACGACCCAGGCACTGTGACACAGCGCTCGGCCACTGTATGCGTTACTTGAACACAAGCACTGCAATACCTAGACAGTTCATCCGATAACCAAGATGGCTGCCCAGTGGCTAATGGGCGGGAGCGTCTGCAGCGTGGACGCGATGGACGAGGGGATGATTCACTTCCCGGGTGGGACTGAGCAGGTCGGCGTGAGATTTCATCGTGCTGCCCAGAATGGCAAGCAATTTAAAACTTAGTAAAGTGTTTATTTCTGGAATTTTCCATATAATATTTTCAGACCATGGTTGACCTCAGGTAACAAACTACAGAAAGGGAAACCTCAGATAGAGGAGGCCCATGTCATATCCATGCTAGAGATGTCATCCTTCTATTGATTAGCATCGCAAGAATTCGAGACCGACTTGAAGCCATATATTGTAAGAGTCTTGCATGATGTACTAGTCACCATCTCCATCTGGCTCTTTGATGTTTTTATGACAACAGACCCGCCAAGCGAGTTTTTCAGCTCGCTGTCTTCTGCGGAGAGTCTTGTGTTAAAAATTCCCCGCGAGTGTGGCCGTGACTTAGTCCCCTTCAGAGTGATTGCTCTTCTGGCCACTTGTATGAGGAGCCCTCTCTGTTATGTTCGCTTCATCGAAAGTCGTGAATAACCACTTCAGAGATTTTTAAATATGCTTGCAACCTGTTGACTTGGGGGACTTTCCAGAGGACAGAAAGCAAATTCTGATGCCTCTTATTAGGTTCTAAATGCAAAAACTGTGTCTGTCAAACTGCAGTGAATTGAAATGACCTCACTCTGAAACTCTTTTTTCTCTGGAGGAGGGTAAAGTGATCCTTGTTTCGAGTTTTGTCTGGCTGTTTTATATTATAGAACAGTGTACATCGGCAACTCTTGTGGAGAACTTTTATATTCTCTCTAGTTTTGTCTAAGTCTACGATATTGTCTATTTGGTGCCATTTGTCTTAAGTCTGACCCTTTAGCGTTAACTTCCCTTACTAAGCTTGTGTTCTGCCATCCAGTTTGTAAACATGGACGCTACTCAGTACACAATATGCTAAGACGAATGTTGACATTTCCTAGGCTCTCATGCATCAAATGTCACTGGAATGATATGCCTTAACTCACTCAGTCTTTACAACAATCCTATGATTTAGTTATTGGTTTGATTCCCATTTTATAGAAAGGGTGATTAAGTCTCAAGGAGATAAAGTAACTTTCAGAGCAACTAAACAGGGAAGGTAGGACTCAAATGAAGACTTATCTGATTCCAAAGCTTCAGGTTATGATTCCATAACTCCAGACAGATCCTTTCTGGCTGGGAATCTGAAATCCTTCAGTCAAAGGGAGTGTTGGTTCTGAAATACATTTTGTAGACCCAGAAATTAAAGAAGAATAGCTGATCCGCTCTCCCTTTTTTTTTTTTTTTTTACTTTTTTTTTTCCGTCTGTTTCTCTAGGTAGCCCTTGGGTTGGTTAATTATTTTCCTGTTATAAGCAATGCTATTTCTGTTTAAGTGCTGCTGGATTTGGAAATCATTCTCATGACTAAATATTTGTTTGCCTAGGAAGAGCCCAGTGTAGGGCTATGCTGCCAGCGAGTGCTCAGTGAAGAATAATGGATGGCCATGCATGCGTGGGAGTCGTGTGCTCAGGATCTGCTCCCTTCTCCAAAGAAACAGGTATGATGTAGGGAAGGTGAAAACCACAGGACCGTCACCCAGCTGGGTTTCTGTATTTGACTTTATCATTCAAGGGTCCCAAAGGCCCAGGTGTGAAAGGAATGGGAATACGGGGCCCGGCATTTTCTTGAGAAATGATTGAGAAGGGCTGTGAAAATTAGATTCTGAGGTCTACTTCCAAAATTAATATCAAGTATGAGAGAGACTGAAGAGAATCAAATATTTTTTTTAATCGACACATTTTCTATTATTATATACATATAAAGATGATGAGTAATATGCCATATCAGATGGTTTATTCAAACTGTCAGAATCAGGGCTGAAGCGTGAGTAACTTTCCAGAGAACCATCTGAGAAATTCAAGCAGCAGAAAGTGGCAGTAATCAGCCATAAATGGATCCACTGTCCAGACATTCCTGAATATCTTGGGGGAACAAAAAAAAAAAAGTCTTCCCAAGGTACATGATGGGACATATCTAGGGAAAAAGAAGGTGACCGATAATTTAAACTTCACTTAAAAAATCAGATGTCCGTGCACTGCCCAGGTTTGTGCACTCACCAGAAAGACTGGGGGCGGCCGTGGGGCCCGGGAAATGATGCCTCAGTGTGAGTGATGGCTACAGAGCACCTCTCCACATCTCTGCAGAACTTTGTATTAGGGCTCTCACTTGCATCATCACGCTTTGCTTTGGCATCAGAGAAAATGGAAAGAGGAAAGCTTCAATTACTGGTACGCAGTACCACAGGTCCTGGGCCGGGACAGGCAGTGTAGAGCAAAGGTACAGAGAGACCAGAGGAATATCGTGGGCTCGGTTGCAGACCCCGCAATAAAGCGAATATTGCAGTAGAGCTAGTTACACAGATTTCTTGGTTTCCCAGCGCATCTAACAGTTATGTTGGCACTATAATTGTTGTCTATTAAGTGTGCAATGACATCGTGTCTAAAAAAGCAATGTACATACCTTAATGAAAAGTACTTCACTGCTAAAACATGCTAAGCATCATCTGACCTTCAGCGAGTCATAATCTTTTCACTGGTAGTTGCCACGGACCTTCAATTTGTACAAAACATGATTTATTTGCGGAGTGCAATAAAACCAGGTATGCTGTACTGGCATCGGATGGCCCCGACTCTGCTCCCAGCTCCAGGTCCCAGTCTCATCATCTGCAAAGTAACCAGGTAGAGACTAGCTTTCTAGGGTCCATTCCAACTCTACTAGTTCACGTTACCTTTGACAGGTTTCACTATGAGATGAGCATCCTTCATTGGGGAAACTCCACGTGTCTTGATGTTTTATCGATGAGAACTTACTGATGCAATTCTACCTTTAAAAAAATCCCTTTTTACCCCTCACTGAACTCTCTTCAGTAATAATGAGGTCTTATGAAGTTTGATAATTTGGTGTATCAGAGTTTATTTCATTAATACAATACCCTCCTTTGCTGGCACCACACTTTACCATTTCTTCACCCAAAAGAGAGGTGACTTTTGAGAAGCAATCCAGCAGCGTTGGGAAAATAGGTACTGTGGCCAGGGGAGAACTTATGATGTGTCTGCGACTTAAGGATATGTAAATAAGGTAGCTCATGTGAACGGAAATATTCTGAAATATACTTATAATTAACCCCAAGATATAGATACACATTTATAAAGAATACAAGTGAAGACTTGAGAAGCGGGAAGGATCATTTCCCAGAAGCAGGAGCATCTCAGCAGCCAGAAGGAGAGGTGACATGGAGACCTGGGCCAGGCTTAGTCCCACTGCCCAGAATCTTTCCTGAGCTCATTCTCCCAGGAAGGGTCTGAAGGAGCTGCTGACATTTCTCATAAAAGAATCAATGAATCTTTGTTTCTTCCAGCCTGCTCATTTGACCTTATTTAGTTTTGAAACAGAGACGAAGGAAAGAAAGAATGAAACCAGTGGGTAGGATGGGGGTAGGCAGAAAGAACAGAGAAGGGGGTGTCAGTGCTATGGAACCCACAGGCAAGACTGTCACCCAGGATGTTATTGTTTGCTTGCTGTAGTCTTATTTGTTCCTGCTTCTCATTTCACATTCTCGCCCTGATGTAATAAGTTGCCGTCTTCCCAGCCATCATCCCCTTATTGACAAGCAAATGTCACCCATGTTTGATTGACATCCATTGCTCCTGAATGCAAAAGTATGATTTACGAATCAATTCTACTTGTTTATTTCAAGCCGTTCTTGTGTGTCTTATGTATGTGTTGGTGGGATAACTTGCCTAATATCTACTCTGGGGGCTTGGCATTAATATTATACACTCAGGCTGTTCCGTCATCTGCTCTCCCACTGCAAATAGGGCTATTCTTTCTCTCTCTTTTTTTTTTTTCTCCTATTTTCCCCCAGCACACAGGCAGGAAATGTGCTATGGAGTTTATAGGACTCTTTCCACAGCTTAGGAAAAGATCTTGCCCAGTACTTTGTTAAATACTGCTTGCTTTATCGTAAGACTTTTGAAGGCATTTTGACAAGTGATAATTTCTCATGCATGTAGTACCTTTAAGTAAGTGCAACTCCAGATCCAATGGCTGTATCTCCTGAAAGCTGCTAAAATTGTAAGCCTGTAAGTAGAGTACCTATGTATGCACTCACCATTCATAGCATTTGTAAAAAGAACTAAACTCTCCCTCCTTTTTGCGGTGGGCACGTTCATTTAAAATCGTTGAGAAATGTCCTTTGACTTTTCAACATACCTTACTGTTCTCTGGGGAACATCTTATTTCGTTTTAGAAGGCTAGCAAGGAAAACCATAAGGTTAAAAACAGTCACACCTACCATCTGGAAAATTCTAAAGGGCCCTCCTTATGTTAAAAGTGGCATTTTGAAAAACACCTGAAGCACTGATTGTAAGTGAGCCTGTATAGAAATATTGTTAACCAAAACACCCTCCTTTCGACCTTCTTCTCCACCTTCCAACCGGTGCTGCTGGCAGTGGGGACAGAGGTGTGACCCTTGAGTCCTAAAGTCTGCCGCACATTTGTCTCCCCTCCCCCACCATGTATGTCCAGGGCGAGGGCTGCCATGGCCTGGGTTCAGCAAGGGAATATTCAGGATCTCGCTGTTCATCTTTGTGTGGAAAAAGGAGAGAGAGAGTAAGAGAGAGGGAGGGAGAGAAATAAAGAGAGAGAGAGAGAGGGAGAGAGAGAAAGAGAGAGGAGGGAGAAGAGACAGAAACGAGAAGGGGGGGTGAGAGAGAGAGAGAGAGAGAGAGAGAGAGAGAGAGAGACCGAAAAAAAAAAAAAAATCCCACATTGTCAGAGTAATGCCAAACTCTCCCTGAGTGGGATGAGCAGAGCAGATGCTGCAATGAGATGCCAAAGCGGCTCCCCTTCCTCTGTGCCTTGGGTGCCTATAAATTGCTCCGGCGCGCGTTTTCAGCCTCCTCTTCTCCTGGCAGGTGGTACCCAGGCAGAATTCTGCGTTCAGTCTCTCTCTCGCTCGGCTCCCGGCCGTGAGGCGCTCGCCGCTGCTCGCTAGCTCCTCTGCTCCAGCCCCGAGCCCCGCCGAGCGACCTTGCCCGCGGCTCCGGCTCCGCACACCCGGGGGCGGCGGGCCCCAGCTCGCGCGCCCTGCGCGGGTCTCCGGGGGTTCGCATCTATTAGAGTTGTGGTGGTTGTCAAGGAGGAAGAAAAAAAAAAAAGGCAGGGGAAGGGCAAACAGATCGAGCGAAAGAGGACAAGAAGGGAGCGGAAAAAGGCAACTTCAGACGGAAAGTTGGTGCGAACTGGCGCAGTCTGCAAAAACGGAAAAGTCGACCGCAGGTGGCGGCATAAAAGTGTGAGCGGCCCCAGCGAGCGCGAGAGGCGGCCGCTGGCTCTGCCCTCCCGCTGGCGGGTGGCCGCCTGGAGCCGAGGCAGCCACAGGTGCGAGGGGGCTCGCCGGAGGCGAGAGGGTGCCCTGCGCACCCCTCCCCCAGCCCCACCCCCAGCTCAGGACTTCAGATCAAGTCACTTGGCGTCCGAGCTCCCTCCCCAGCCGCAGCCTCAGCGGGGGGAGCAGGAGCAGCCGAGGAGCAGCCGGCGCGCGCGCCCAGGGGAGTTGGGGTTCGCAGGGGTTTGTTTTCGGCTCTGAAGAGGTCCCCGCCCAACCTTCAAAATTTTGTCCAAAAGCAGACAAGAGGATCGCCCCGCGCTGAGCCGGCTGGTGGGCAGCAGGAGGCGCCTGATCGCCGCCGGGGCGCTGGGGGTGGTGATGGTGCTGCTGCTGGTCATCCTCATCCCGGTGCTGGTGAGCTCGGCCGGCACGTCGGCGCACTACGAGATGCTGGGGACCTGCCGCATGGTCTGCGCCCCTTACGGGGGCACCAAGGCTCCCAGCACGGCCGCCACTCCTGACCGCGGCCTCATGCAGTCCCTGCCCACCTTCATCCAGGGCCCCAAAA